TGAACCTTAGTTTATTTGGTAATAATTGAGTTCATGATGAAAAGTATCTTTTTCCATAGTGTGCTCCCTATATATCCAGCTCCCATATTTTAAATATACAGAGAAAACTGATACTATAAATCTGTGATCAGGTTAAATTGTCTTTAATGGTACTGCCTTATGTCTGAAGAGTTCCTGTGTTATAGTAAGACATTTCTCTTTTAGGTTTAACATATTGGCAGAGTAATTCTTTTACTTCTTATACAAATGTAAACTTAGAAAACAGTTTATTTAATCCAAATGTGCAATCTGAAATCAAAAACTGAATGTAAACGTCAGAAAATCAAAATTACAAGAGCACACTTTTCACAAGAAAAATCAAAGTAAATGAAACAAAAACATCTGGAATTAAAAAAAACCCAGCCTGTTCAAATCCATGGTGTTAGTGTTTGAATTAAACAAAAAGACATGGGGGCTCAACACTGCTTCTGCAGACTGTTGTGACCCACGTGAACTCAGTGGAATACAACAGTTTGTAGCAGCTGAGGAGATGGTCCCATGACTAATCAAAAAAGGACCTAAGTACTGATCTGATTCTTAAAGCTTGCCTTAATTATTTTACTGATCCTACACTTACATATTCATATCAGAAAATAATCTCAAGAACTGCAAAATGTCAGACATTTAACTAGCTCTAAGTGCCTTGATGAATGACAAATATACTGAGCCATATCAATCCCTGGTACCACTTTGCACACAACTGGCTTCCGAATTACACCAGAAAACAACACAGTTCATCTGCTTTTCCAGTACAAGCTACTTATTTTCAAGAAGCTATGATTCTTCAATGCCAGCACGGACCAACAAATTCAGGGAGCATTTTTTTATCTATGAAAAAACAAAAGACTGATTTTCATAGATAAAATATTCCACTTTAATAAAGGGAAGGTTCTAGCAGGCTGTCTTCATTTAATCAAAATACAAAGGGAAGAAATGTGGGGGGGTTAAATTGTCTATATTTCATTTTCTTTTGTATTAACTGACAGCTGCACTAATTAAAAAAGCCCAGTGATAGAAAACAGATCAACTGTGTCCATGGCCAAGAAACTATGTACTTATGTGCAATGCAGATACTATGTTATGAAAAATTATGTTATGAAAAATGTACTAATGAAATCAGTGATTTGGAAAATATGTTTCATATAATCATTGCAGTTGGAAGAGACCTCTGGAAGTCATCTAGCCCAACCTGCTATGGTCCAAGCTGGGTCAACTAGTACCAGTGAGTTGACTTATTGCAAAGTTACACCTAGTAACTTGTTCAAAGAGTATCTTTTTTCAGTTTTCTCCTTTTCTTTTCCATAGCTTACCTTAGCATTTTTTTTTTAAGTTCAAGAGAGAACAATTTTCCCCCAAATCTTCTACCCAAAAGGGGAGGGGGGGGGGGGGGGTGTGCAGTTTGCTTAATAGCGGGCATGATTCTCTTCCAACTTCCGTTTTGCAGTAACTTACCTACTGGTTTCATGTTAGGTGTGCGTATAAGATCTTCCAAGATTATGGCTTGAACCATAATATAGCCATATGACAAGGCTAAATCAAAGTATCATTTGCTACCAGTTCTCTCTTTGGAATTAAATTATGTGAAAGAGCAAACAACTTGGAAATCAGCAGATTATTTTTGCCAACAGACTCTGTTCTGCAAGTTAGTTGGTGTTTGTAAGTATTTTCTAGAACTATGGAAGTCTGCATAGTTATGTTTTACTCATAGCACATTGAATTCAGTGATCATTCATGAGTTAAGATTAAAGTACTCAAAATTGGCCACACCAATAAGATTTTTTTCAACAAATCTGATTCCAGATGTGATGCAGCAACAAAAAAGCAGTTGTAAGCACTAAAGGGGAGTGCTGCCAAAACAGTTACCTGGGCTTAAATGAAGAAACAATTACTGGACTACAAATGAAATTGTAGGTAACCAAGAAGCTTGACGCTATATAATTACATGATGGAACTTAAGCTGATCTTAAAAGCACAACCTGTGAGTTGTAGCTTTGCTTTCTCAGACCAGTACTGTTTGGATGCAGAGGGTGCTCTGTCAAATTTCTCTAAGGGTTGTGACAAAATTACACTTCTCCCCCCGAGCTTCACCTAACAGGAAAAATGATCTTTTACAGCTTTCCAGTAGTTACTCTGCCTGAAAATACCATATATTCCACAAAAGCACCTGAACTCTCTGCAGGTCTAACCACACACGTAACTTGAAAAGGGCAGACTAGGTATCAGTGATCCTAAGTTAAATCTATCTCTGTTATTATTTTTTATATACAATATGGATGCAATCCTGCAGGACACACTCTGTGAGGGTTGTACTAAAGTAAGGACTGCAAGATTCAGAGCTCCATCAAACAACAAGTCAGTTTTGCTCTCAGGCGTTGGTATAAAAAAGCACATATTCTAGGTGGTCTGGTTTATATAAATACACTCCAGAGAGACTTCGACTTCATTCTTCAGAAGCATAAAAGAAAGGAAAATATAGCCCATAAATTTTGATGCACTAAAATACAGAGATGCATATTGCATTACTTCAGCAATATAATTACCTGGCATTTAGCAAAACTTACAAAACTGCTACTATAGATGCTAGTAGATCTAAAAATTTTGAGTGTTAAACTCTGCCTTTGTTTACATCTAGGCAACTTTAGTATAAGTTCAGCATAGTTGCATGGATACAATAGAAAGCAGAATTTAGCTTTTAGCTTTCTTGCAGAAAGGGTTTTTATGGCTTATAACATAGAAAATTCATGAGAGCATGCCTGAAGCTGAACACCTAATAGTAAATATCTTTATTGTACAACTGTACATTGACTTTTAATGCAGTGTCTGCCCCCAAGATCAGTGGCAGCAGAAGACTTCTCCTCACCTGGTTCACCACAAGCAGGTCAAGGATGTCATGAGACAACATGCCCAAGGGTTGCAGAACAGTGCTTCTGATCATGAGAAACTCTTTGTGTCTACTCAGAAAGCAGTAAAAATAAATGTTTAATCTTGAGTGGTGGGAATATATTTAACTGTTGAATAAAATAACACATTCAGGAAAACATTTAACAGCAGAGATAACTGGCAATTGTAACTACTTGCTACAGGGTGACCCTGCTTTGCCTGAGTAAGGACTGCACTGCCAGGGCAAATACTTTGAAGATGCAAAGGGCTATTCCAGTGTGTTTGACTGCTCTTCTCCAATTACAGTACTTTTGATTTATAGCAGCAATAGGACCGACTCTGAGCTTCAGTTCTTTTGGCTTTTGCTAAGAACAGAAGTTGGGCCTAATCCTGCATTCCTTTTTTACCCAAAAATCTCCCGAGCCTTACCAGGCATTCAAAATTCCGACTAATGTCTGTGAGAGTACTTGTTACAAAGGATTAAAGGACAGAGCCAGTTGTAAGGAAAGCTGCACCTTAGAAAAAAGTACCCAGTAGTTTCCTCCACCCATTTTTAAGGGAAACACACAATTTTCAAAAGCAGGATTTTAATGTCTTTATAAAAAGCCCCATAAATCTACATTCCTTCTGGCTCCCAAAACTCCATGTGAATGTTAGTTTTGCTTGAATAAGGCCTGCAAGATCCATCCCCAAATCTTGCTCCTTGTTAAATTGAATGAAAATCCTGCAAGTGACTTCAGTGGGATCAGAATAGACCCTTCAGCCACTGGCATGTTGCCCAGGTATTTTAGCCACCTTTTCTGCAATACAATATTGTCTAAATCTGTTTTCACTGACCTGTAAGACAGTACAGATTGTTGTTAAAGGAAAGGGTAGAACACAACAGGAAATAATGTTGCTTTGGGAATTTTACCATTAGTAAGTTTCTTTCCCCTTAGATTTTCTTGTAAGATCAAAGATCAAACTAAAATTATTAACTACACAGTCAAGTAACTTTAAACCTACAGATCAAAATTATTCTCAAAATGTTCAAATACTTAAAAATATGCACTCAAGTTTACTTCTAAAAAGCATTTTCCCAACAAACTTAAGCTGATATCTAATAGTCTAAAATGCAGAGCTGTACTTTATCCTATTGTTTGTCCATGGGCAATGTATGGGGCCACAATGTATTGAAATCATAATCCTTGCTTTCTGAAGAGAAATTGTTCTGTGTAATAATTTCTGAGGTGTGGTTTAAATTCCTGTCCTCCTCTAAGCAATTTCAGAAGTCATCTAAAATTATAATCAAACATGCTCAAACATATTTGTGGGCTTAAAAACATGGTGTGATCATGGTCGGCAAACACTGGATAGAAGGTCAAACCGAACACTTCCTAACAGGTCAAGAGTAAGAAAAAAAATTATAGAAAGATGAACCTCAAAAATCTATTACAGGGGTTACCTAAACTTTGCCCGGCCGAGGACCACATTGGCGATTTGCCATGAGCACAAAGGCTCCACTAAGTCATGTTATATGGAAGAGTCTGAGTCACCTTTAATATGGCAAGTTGGTCCGTAGAGAGGACAGGTGCCCATGGGCAATATGTCATCCTGATGTTTGCCATAGGGCTACATACGATTTAAGAGGAAGAAAATAAGTCATCGCATCTGCTCACATAGAGCTTATGTGAAAAGGATGGAAGTGAAGGCAAGGGCAAGAGGGAGATGACAGCCAGGCACATGGGCACTAGGGATATTAACATTTTTCTCAGATGAAAGTCAGCCTCAGGGCACGTGACCAGCTACCATCACCACCTGTTATCTGTGCAGGCCTCCCCTACAGCTGCCCTTGGGAGATCTGCCATGGACATGAAGGAAAGCGGGATTGGTCCCCTGGCCCATGGGCTGCGCTTCAGCCACCCCTGACCTATTAGAAAATGTTGATATTTTTCCCCACTACAACTCACAGAGTGCAAAAACAGCAAGCGTCAAAGTTTGAAGCCCAGGCCTTCCCACCCACGCCAGGCCTGGCCTCCCCGGGCAGCTCCCCTGCCCACTCTGCCTTCCATCACCTGCTCCTCTGAGCAGAGGCAACCGCACTACACAGCCAGGTCGTCTGACCTGGCTCTGCAGCTGCTCGACTTACTGGCCCTGCTCAAGCGCCGTGTGTCTACGAGCAGCGGTGGCTCATGCATCTCCACGGTGGCGCAGGCAGCTGAGACGGACCGCTCCTCTGACAGCTCCTCCTCACCCTCCACATCCCACTTGCTGCCACTTGCCCCACTCAGGCTGGTGCTGCTGCCACTGTTGGCTGCAGCAACAGGCGGCCCAGCTGGGGGTGGGAGTAGCTGCTCCAACGGCTCTTCCTGCTGCGGAAGGGGATGCCGGACACTGCTGGGGGTAGAGGAGCCTGCTGAGCTGGAGGGCACCTTCCCCTGCTGCTCAGCTGCCATGTTGACCCAGTTCTGCTCGGCTGCCAGGGCATGGCTGTTGCTGTTGAAGTAGTTGATGACGGCTGGGGTGGGTGTGGGGATGGGGGTCGGGATGGTGACAGGAGTGGAGATGGGCGTAGGAGTCACAGCACGGTGCCTCTCTTCAGGAACTGGTGGCGCAGCAGGGTAGCTGGCCATGGATGCTGCATTGGAGGGGGGCCGCGGTCTTGGAGCAGCCGCGGCATAGTATGGGGCCATGGTCACTGGGGCCAGCAGCGGTGTGACAGCGCGGGTGTCAGGCAGAACAGGGCGGGGTGTAGCAGTCGTTACCACCACAGGTGGTGCTGGTGGCGGTAGGGCAACAGGTTTGGACTCCCCTGTTACCATGACTGGTGTCATTGTTGCGACAGGCATCTCAAGGCTGTATCGGCTTGTCATGCCCTGCTTAAGCTTCTTCCACCCCAAGTGATATATCTCAAGCATGTTCAGCAGCAGGGAGACAGAGGCCACCACCAACATGAAGATGATGAAGATGGTCTTCTCAGTGGGCCTTGAGATGAAGCAGTCCACAGTGTGTGGGCAAGGTGAGCGGCTGCACTGGTAGACTGGCTTTAGCTCAAAGCCATATAGGAAGTACTGGCCCACAATGAAGCCCACCTCAAACAGTGTCTTGAAAATTATGTTGAAGACGTAGGTACGGAGCAGGGCACCCCCCATACGGATTCTACCACGTTCATCACGGATCGGGAGCTTCTCCTTCCCCCTCTTGCCAAGAGGATCCTTGACGTTATTGCTGCCTCCTCCACCACTGCTGCCAGACGCTGCTGCTCCTGGGTAGTTGCTGTCTTTCAAGTTTCCCTTCTTTTTCATCTCTTCTTTCTCTTTCCTCTTCTCCTCCATGCGTACAATGTGCAGCACATGGCCCAGGTAGATGAGGGTTGGAGTGGAGACAAAAATGATCTGCAGCACCCAGAAGCGGATGTGAGAAATGGGGAAGGCTTTGTCATAGCAAACATTTTCGCAACCAGGTTGCTGTGTGTTGCATGTAAAGTCCGATTGCTCGTCTCCCCAGACCTCCTCAGCAGCAGCCCCCAGCACCAGTATCCTGAAGATAAACAGTACCGTCAGCCAAACCTTGCCAATAACTGTGGAGTGCTCCTGCGCATTCTCTAACAGTCTCCCCAGAAAGCTCCAGTCACCCATTGTTTCAGATTTCTAACCTACAATAAGAACATTAGAGCAATTAGAGCAACGTTAAAAAATCTTGTAATTACACAATGCTGGGGCAGAACAGATTGATCCTCCACAAATGACATTTCTTAAGTGCACTTCCTTTTGCAGAATATTGCACATTTATTTTAAGAACTACATAACCCTGTGACCAGGTAGCCATGGGTTTTGGTGAGCACAGAAGTGGGATGTTTAGTGCTTTCACCTAGCCGATACAGGTTTAAGTGTCTATACACAACAGGCAAGAAAGATTCATAACTAGAATTTCTACAAGATTTAAATATTTAAAACCCATGATTTCTGTTTCTTCCACCTGAGATGCCTCTAACTGTTCTTGCCTATTTTTAGAAAAGAACAGATGGAAATCAGTTCAATTAAACAGAATATTGCTACTGTTAATGTGACTGCACTGGTACCAGAGTGTGATACAAATTTTGCCTAACTCTAATCATTTTTTTCTTATCAGGACTTATTTACTCCAGCATTCAGGAGCTTAGTAATGTCCCAGGTCTCTGCTATTTTCATACTGTGCAAACACAGAAAAATAATTACTCAAAACCTATGGAATTTACAGTTTAATTTTGGAAGTACACCAACAAGCATGTTCTCAGCGCATAGTCATGTTTGAGTTTATTTCTAAAAAGAGAGAATTATTAGAATAACTTGAAATATTGGGAAGAATGAGAAATTCTGAGAGGAATGGTGGAAAAGTTTCTATGCTATTTCCCCTACTGTCCTGCCAGTTGGTGTTACTGAACCACATGTACTGCAACATTATTTAAAAAAAAAAAAAAACAAACCAAACCAAAACACCTCAAGGGTACTTCAGCAAATGTCCACAGAGATTTTCTTGGAAAAATAAAATTACATCCTATGACCTTACTTCTGTGACAAACAACTGGTATATATTCTCAGTAGTTTCCACCAATTCATGTATGATGGGCTTCCCATGTCCAGTTCTAGGCACTGACAAAACTTCTGATTTGGAAAGGCACTTTAAGTGCAAGATTTTTTTTAAGATGGGGTTCCTCACAAGCTGCCTTCAATAGTGAAACAAGTTACTATCTGCCAGTATCACTTCTGTTATCCTTGGCCTGTTTCTAATCGGAATATATGTAAGAATATTGGAATATATGTAAGAAGTACATTTCATTCTCATAAGGAACACACTTCTATATTTTATATGTCAACCTTCAGCTGAAAACAAAATACAAAACTTTACTTTCAGCTAACTTCAATACCTTCAGAAATACTTATATCGTAATTATAATTCAGATATAACAATTTGCATGCAAAAAAACACTACCAGAAAAGACTGATTATCCTCGTGTTTAAAAATATCAGAATATTTTATAAATATAACTGAATATTACTCTTTTTCCTTCTATATTTATACTTCTTGTCCAAATACCCATGTGTTTTACAATTCCCAACTAGAAAAAGCGTTCATCATTACAGGTAGGAATCTACCACTGAGAAAATGTACTATTCTCGGTATTATATTTACTGTGATTTCCAACAATGATGTCACTGTTTTTCCAGAGGAAGCATTTCTAAAGTCTGTACTGAACTTCTTTCAGGCTTTTAGTTAAGGTAATTAATGAAATTAAAGTTATTTAAGTTACTTTTTTTATAACTTGATTTCACTATGAGGCAATGAAATACCTGTAACTGCAGAATAGTATACTTTCACACAAAAAGCAACAAGATGCCCATTAGTATTTTGCATTTTTGTAAATCCTGGAATACTAATTCACTTTTTATCCCCACAAAGTTAATTCAGTAAAAAATCCCCCTAAAAAAAAAATAGATCTTTGATATTCTACAAAAACACATTCCCTTTAATGTAACTGAATTTTTTCCAGCATAGCATGACAGACTGTAAATGACCATATTAACAATGAAATACCAATTTTGCGTAGTAATGTCCCTCATCTTAAAACAATTTTTAATCATTTTTTAAAAATATATTCAGATTTTTTTATGAGTTGTATTTTTCCCCTCTTAAAATACTAGCCCAAAACTGAATAAATTGTTACAATACGCTATTTTTATAATCCTAATCTGTTTATATGATTTTAAAATTTAATCCTCAATCTTAATTTTATGAGGTTTACAATATTTTGTATGGTGAAGTAATTTTAATTTTGGGAAATATTAATTTTTCAGGGAATAATGAATTTATTTTGTATCTTTTTTACTCAAAACCATTTGAAGATACATTCAGTTTAGTTCCATCTTTGGACAGAACTAAACTGTTGTTTGGGAATGTTCTCATTTTGAGTAGAAAAATGTAGGAACAGCAAAATGAATAGTTATATTTGATGGATTAAAGAAGTTTAGCATAACACTAAGTTCAGTATTTCATTTCTCTGCTATCCTTTGCATTATTCTATGCCTCTCAGTTCAGTTCCCTCTGCCTCACTCTTTGTTTTCTATCCAGATCAAGCAAAACAGGCAGCTCAAATAATAAGTAGTCAAAGTTACGGTTTCTTCTTTTGTCACTAATACTTGTAATGGAAAGTTTATTAATCAGCAAAAGTTAGCACATTAAATCATCTTTAATTCATTAATTATTGTCTATTTTCAGCATGGCTGCCATCACCCTTGTGTCCAATGGCACAGAGGACGCACACTATTCTTTATACAAAGACAGATACTACCTTCTATTGTTCAGAAAAATGAAGCTGATCTGCCCTCATGAAAAATTATAACCCCTGCATTGTAAGGTGAACAGAGGTAGAAATCTCCCCCCCCATAGGCACACTGTAGTGTATCTCTTACTGAGATCAACAGGCGATGTTGACTACATTGAAAGTAGGATTTTTTGTGCTTTTCTGAAGAATTATCTAGTGATTAGTGGAAAAAGAAAAACAAGAATTTGTAAAAAGTAAAGGAAAGACAACAAATAATACCATCTAATTTATTCTTAATCATTCTCCATTCACCAACACTACTGAAGATGTTTTTTTCTTTTTACTACAGGTCAACAATGCCCAGGCTTAGATAATTCAGGACACCAAAGACATGACACGATACATTTCTCAAAAGACACACTTAAAAAATCTATTCTAGTGCTTACATTAATTAAAAGATTTATTTCTGTGTATCAGAGTGTGCAAATTCATCCTGTACACAAAGAAGAAGTGTTTAAGCAGTGAGCAGATACATCGCAGCATCTTAACCTGAGAGAGGTGAAAACTTCAGTGTTCATCTCAGTATGAATTACAGCAGTCATTGCCTTCACTACAAATGTGTATTACCCATAGTACATAAATATAGGAAGGACATAATTTCCAAGGGCAATGCAAAGATATATATCTCCACTAGCTGGAGGGTTCTCAGAAATCCAGGTCCTGTATCTTTCTTCAATGTCAATACGTTCTCCAGTGAGTAATTCTTAAAGTCAGTGTAACTCATCCAAAAATCACACCAACAATTTTAAAGGGGTGCCTTGATACAAATAACCTTTAAATGACATCAAACAAAACCGAAGGGCTCACAGAGTTGTCACCATTAAGTTCAACAATAAAATACCTAAATCTAAATTTAAACAGCCACAACTCGGTATTTTAGCAGAGAACAACAAGCTTGTAGTGTTACGTAAACTTCAACTGTACTACTTTCAGCACTGCTGAAATACAGAGCTAGGCAACTGTTAAGCCCTAATCTTACATATGGATTGTGAAGGGAGACATTTTTTCTTTCTGTGCTTGGAAAAAATGCAGATTAAGAAATGAAACATCTTTATCTGTATTTCATGACATTCATGCAGAAATACCCACTAGGGTATGACAGAGAATCTGCCTCAGAAAGCAATCTAATTCAATGGTATGAAAAGCAAGGACTTCATGAACCTTGGGGTCATTTAATAGTAACTGGGAGTTGTATATTGTTTACCTCAGTTAGAAAATCATTCCTCTGAGACAAATATTGAAAAATTCATAAAAACTGGCATGACATTCTGTTTAAGAATCAATGCTGTGCTATTAATTACTAGGTTTAGTACATGCAAAAATACACTTTGTGGATGGTGTGTGTGTTTGTGTGTGTGTGACAAAGAGAACGAGCAAGAGAGAGAATAAATTTTAAAAGCTGTGATGTCATATATATCCCTCTACAGGAGGGAAATAATTATCATGTGGTATCTATAAACTTGCCAGTTATTATCTATATTTCTATTTCTGATGACATCACCGAAGAGGTTCATGACTATGTATCAAGTCTGTGAAACATGAGATTTTAATTATTTATAATTTCACTCATACATGTATATGTTTATGTATTTATATATATATATGCACACATATTCACACATAAATAACTACACAGCTATGTTACATACATTACCAGATTATGAGTCCTGGTGTATTTATGATTTTATTATACTGGTTTATCTAAAAAATGTCCCTTAGCAATTATTTAGAAACCTAACAGGTGTCCTTGTCTGAATACGATTTCTTAAATTCAGTCCACATTTTCTTTCATTTCTTGTGACAGCTTAAAATCCTGGGACTTAGGTTTTTATCATCAAAATTATCTAGATTTTATAAATCAGTATACGAGAAAAATGCTGTTAAAAGAGACAACAACTTGCAATATTTCCTTTGTTTTTACAATAAACAGTCAGGCATCTCCATGACTACCAGGTTTTTAACCCTGCTAATTTAAATCTGATAAAAGTAGTCACCCTGCACAAAGTCTGCAGAGTGACCATGTCATTCCAGACAAACTGGCAGATATGCAGGGACAGCATAGGCTACTATAACTTCCAGTGAAACCTAATGGTATTTGGTCATGTAAATATATATACAAAACAGAATGGTGGGTTTTTCATAATTCACAATGGAGGTTTCATAATTCACTTTATAAACTTGTTTAAACGAGGACTTGAAAAATACCTTTCTTGCTCATAGTGTTATACTTTCAGACACATCTATTACCACTTTCACTGTATTTTAAACTCTTACTAA